GGGTGTACAGCCGAGTTTGTCCTCGAATGGAGGTCGATCTAATGCAGCTCGGTACAGCAGAGGTGCGTCGGGTGTGGAGGTGGAGCTCTCTCACTCCTGTGCTGCTATAGGCTCCTCTAGGGCTCGGTCTGGTAGTAACCGCTCTAGCCCTACCTACTCTATGGTGGGCTTCGAGGATGAGGAGGCCACCACTTCCGAGGTCTCTGTGGTCCAGCCCGGCTCCATTGTGGCCTCGTCGATCCAGTCGGACATATCCCTCCCTTTCACTTCACCGTTCAGTGACTGGCGGTCAGCGTCATCGACTGGCAGAGGTCCGGGGTCGGCAGATCCAGAGGAGGCCAGCATTCTTACGGCGAGCGCTGCTTTGGAGGGCCATCTGAATCTCACCTACAGGAACCTCAGAAATGAACGATCGACTCACGGAGGGGAGGCCAACGATGCTGTAAGAATGATGTGGAAGTTCGAGCTGGAGTGGTATTGATTAGGGCCTCCGGTCTAGCCATACATCGTTATATGAGTCGAGGTTGAGCAACAGCCCGTCCTCTAGCATGTCGATCCTCACTGAGTTCACTGTTGATGGTGGTAACAACGTGAGTGTAGAGGAGGTCAGTGGAGCCTTGGCCCGGAGGAGGAGGAAGGCCGAGGCGGACGTCGAGGAGCGCATCAGGAGCAGTAGGGAGAAGATGGCTGCTGGCAAGGAAAGGGACATCGCCTCTCCGCAGAAGAGGCGGCGGGAGCATCGCAGGGTTAGTGATGTGGCCTTTTCGGGTGGGTTGGTCAGGTGGGGTCTGTCATCAGGCTGTGGAGGAGAGGAAGAGGAGACGTCGGGAGGCTAAGGACTCCTTCAAGACCTCCTTGGAGAGATTCAGTGAAGGGCTGATGGACTCCCGAGGGTCCAGTGGGTCTAGTACGGACTCCCTCTCGATCATCATCAGAGGTCGGCGGTCCGCGTGGTCGGTCTTTGGTATCGTCTTGGTATAGATGCGGAACGCCGGCTTCTAGCGCAGCAGCAACGGTTGAAGTCGAGAAGTGAGGCTGTTGCTAAGGACACGAGGGTGACTGAGGATGCCCTACGGGATAATGCAGCGAAGCTGAGGAAGGTAGAGTACCTAAAGGAGTTGAAGAAGGAGGTATGCAGATGTTGGT